CGGCAACTTCAGAATTAACAGCAGATTGTTAGGTAACTTCACAAGTAACAACAGATTGTAAGGTAACTTCACAAGTAACAACAGATTTTCTGGCAACTTCACAAGTTATTCTTGATTGTTAGGTCGCTTCACAAGTAACAAGAGATTGTCCGACAACTTCATAAGTAACTATACATTGTCTGATAACTTCAAAAGCAACTGATTGTTCAGTAACTTCATAAGTAACATCCGATTGTCTGGTAGCTTTATAAGTAACTGATTACACAGTAACTTTCCAAGAAGAACTGATTGTCCAGTAACTTCATAACTAACTATATATTGTCTGGTAACTCTAAAAGCAACTGATTACACGGTTACTTCCCAAGACAAACTGATTGTCCGGTAACTTCATATGTAACTGATTACACGGTAACTTCTCAAGAAGAGCTGATTGTCCGGTAACTTCATATGTAACTGATTACACGGTAACTTCCCAAGAAGAACTGATCGTCCGGTAACTTCATAAGTAACTATACATTGTCTGGTAACTTCAAAAGCAACTGATTGTTCGGTAACTTCATAAGTAATATCCGATTGTCTGGTAGCTTTATAAGTAACTGATTACACAGTAACTTCCCAAAAGGAACTGATTGTCCAGTAACTTCATAACTTACTATATATTGTCTGGTAACTCTAAAAGCAACTGATTGTTCGGTAACTTCATAAGTAACTTCCGATTGTCTGGTAGCTTTATAAGTAACTGATTACACGGTAACTTCCCAAGAAGAACTGATTGTCATAATTAAGTATAGATCAGCTGGTAGCTTCATAAGTAACTACTGATTGTCTGATAAACTTCATTAGTAACTCTTTGTTGTACGATTACTTCAGAACTAACTGATTGTCCTGCAGCTTCATAAGTAACTCCTGGTTGTACGGTTACTTCATAAGTAACTGATGGTCTGGTAACTCCATACGTGATTTCTGATCACCCGCCTGGTAACTTCATAAGTAACTGATTATCTGGTTACTTCATAAGTAACTTCTGTTCACCCGGTAGCTTCACAAGTAATTTATTACTCAGTAACATTATAAGTAACTGACCGTCCAGTAGGTTTATAAGTAAGTAGTTACCCGGTAACTTTATAAGTAACAACTGATTGTCCGGTACCTTCATAAATAACATCTGATTTCCTGGTAACTTCATAAGTAACAACTGATTGTCCGGTACCTTCATAAATAACTTCTGATTTCCTGGTAACTTCATAAGTAACAACTGATTGTCCTGTAACTTCATAATTTACTGCAGATTGTACCGTAACTTAACCGTAACTGATTACACGGTAACTTCAAAAGTAACTGATTGTCCGGTAACTTAATAAATAACTACTCACAGTCCGATAACTTCATAAGTAACTTCTGATCGGTCGACCGCCTCCGTGGTCTAGTGGTAGAGCGTCCGCCCGGAGAGCGGAAGGTCCGGGGTTCGATTCCCAGCCGCGTCATACCAAAATACGTTAAAAGATGGTACTTGTTGTTACCCTGTCTGGCGCTCGGCATTAAGGGGCTAAAACAAGGACTGGTCGGTTCGGAGTCAGTATACTGTGTCTGAGTGGGAACTTCAAACTAACTTTATAAGTAACTGCTTCTGTATCAATAGCTGGTGTGTATGTAATTTCCTACTGTGTAACTGATAGTTCAGAAACTTCATACTAACTTTATAAGTAACTGCTTGTGTATCAATAGCTGGCGTGTATGTAATTTCCTACTGTGTAACTGATAGTTCGGAAACTTCATACTGACTTTATAAGTAACTGCTTCTGTATCAATAGCTGGTGCGTATGTAATTTCCTACTGTGTAACTGATAGTTCGGAAACTTCATACTAACTTTATAAGTAACTGCTTCTGTATCAATAGCTGGTGTGTATGTAATGTCCTACTGTGTAACTGATAGTTCGGAAACTTTATTCTAACTTCATAAGTAACTGCTTCTGTATCAATAGCTGGCGTGTATGTAATTTCCTACTGTGTAACTGATAGTTCGGAAACTTCATACTGACTTTATAAGTAACTGCTTCTGTATCAATAGCTGGCGTGTATGTAATTCCCTTCTGTGTAACTGATAGTTCGGAAACTTCATACTAACTTTATAAGTAACTGCTTGTGTATCAATAGCTGGTGTGTATGTAATGTCCTACTGTGTAACTGATAGTTCGGAAACTTCATTCTAACTTCATAAGTAACTGCTTGTGTATCAATAGCTGGTGTGTATGTAATTTCCTACTGTGTAACTGATAGTTCGGAAACTTCATTCTAACTTTATAAGTAACTGCTTCTGTATCAATAGCTGGTGTGTATGTAATTTCCTACTGTGTAACTGATAGTTCGGAAACTTCATACTAACTTTATATGTAACTGCTTGTGTATCAATAGCTGGTGTGTATGTAATTTCCTACTGTGTAACTGATAGTTCGGAAACTTCATACTGACTTTATAAGTAACTGCTTCTGTATCAATAGCTGGCGTGTATGTAATTTCCTACTGTGTACCTGATAGTTCGGAAACTTCATACTAACTTTATATGTAACTGCTTCTGTATCAATAGCTGGCGTGTATGTAATTTCCTACTGTGTAACTGATAGTTCGGAAACTTCATACTGACTTTATAAGTAGCTGCTTCTGTATCAATAGCTGGTGTGTATGTAATTTCCTACTGTGTAACTGATAGTTCGGAAACTTCATACTGACTTTATAAGTAACTGCTTGTGTATCAATAGCTGGTGTGTATGTAATTTCCTTCTGTGTAACTGATAGTTCGGAAACTTCATACTGACTTTATAAGTAGCTGCTTCTGTATCAATAGCTGGTGTGTATGTAATTTCCTACTGTGTAACTGATAGTTCGGAAACTTCATACTGACTTTATAAGTAACTGCTTGTGTATCAATAGCTGGTGTGTATGTAATTTCCTTCTGTGTAACTGATAGTTCGGAAACTTCATACTGACTTTATAAGTAACTGCTTGTGTATCAATAGCTGGTGTGTATGTAATTTCCTACTGTGTAACTGATAGTTCGGAAACTTCACACTAACTTTATAAGTAACTGCTTGTGTATCAATAGCTGGTGTGTATGTAATTTCCTTCTGTGTAACTGATAGTTCGGAAACTTCATACTGACTTTATAAGTAACTGCTTGTGTATCAATAGCTGGTGTGTATGTAATTTCCTACTGTGTAACTGATAGTTCGGAAACTTCACACTAACTTTATAAGTAACTGCTTCTGTATCAACAGCTGGCGTGTATGTAATTTCCTACTGTGTAACTGATAGTTCGGAAACTTCATACTGACTTTATAAGTAACTGCTTCTGTATCAATAGCTGGTGTGTATGTAATTTCCTTCTGTGTAACTGATAGTTAGAAACTTGAAAGACTCTAATTACGGACATTCGAAAACATATATATGCTATTGTTGTTGGTAACTTCACAAGTAGCTGTTACTTTTGAAACATATTGCTGAAATACTGCAGATAGCAGCTTTGAAAAACATTCCGCACGGTACAAGTGTAATGTATTCATCTGCTATTACATAACTTCACAGGGTACTTTAACAACTAACAACCCAGGACATACTATCAGAAATACATACCATTTATACCTATCGGACTGGCACCCAGTCGTACAGAGATGTGACCACTGGTGCTAAGTAATCGAAGACTGGACAGAAGCAGTAATCCACATATACCACATATTTTTGTTGCTTTGTTTGCTGTAAATAATTGAGTCAGGACCAGACAATCCAGTGATTGCCATCGTGAGCATCGATCTAAGCATTTGACATGCATCAACCAAGTCAGCGAACCTGACCACCTGATTCAGTGAGTCTCACGAGCACATGCAGCACTTCGGTAAATGACTTTGTTCGAAATATGTAAATCTTCTAGCGCCTCATAGTTAGCTTGGCTTGTATACTCCCCAGGAAGCTGAAAATGAAAACCGAGTGTCCACTGATCCATTGACAGGGGTAATAATGTATCGCTTTGAGCGCGCTATAGCTAGGTTGTGGATTTGGCACATTATAAATATGACATAATTATGATTATGATGATGATGATGATGATGATGGTTATTATTATGACTGATACGAAATACATTGTCTTTGAATATGAAGTGTCAAACCAAAATATCACCTAAACTAAAAATGTTCAGGTTTAAAAGACTTCAAAATCTAACAACGCAAATGAGGTAACTTCGTGGAAGATCTGCAAAACTGATTAAAGCTCGTCAGACATTACGCCAGCCGACCTTGACCCTGGAGGTTAAGTTAAGGTAAAGGTCACAGACAATAAAAGTCAAAGTAAGTCCTGAGAGTGTCGTTCACAACATTATCCCGTGTTTTCTTTGATAATTAGTCCCGATCGCCGATTCGGGGCACCTTCAAGTATGCCGTCCCCAGACAGAGTGAGGCCACGGCCCAAATTCTTCTTTTGATGTTTCCGACAATTCTACCTTTTCCTTACTGAGGTGGTATGATGAACTCATAACACCTCGGCGTGCGGAGGGTCGAGTTGGCAGACCCACAAACACCCGAGTCGTTACTTATAACTCGCCAACTGACTGTACACAAGAACAATAGAAGGATCATCTTTCTTCTTCTTTTGATAAGAAGATTATCACTTTTAGAACTGCACAGTTCAAAGGACACTCATGGTAAAACGAGAGAACCTGGCTTAAAGTCCGGCCAATTTCAAGCCCTGCTATTATTTGTAGTCGGCAGGATAAGCTGTTCACCTGTCGTGTAGTATTCTCACTGCTAACACGGAAGCGAGTACAGCCTAAACAGCTAACGCTGTTTCTTTAGGTTTTATCAGTAGTAGAGACGCTGAACCTAAGAGACCCTCCACCCCACCCCTCAATCCCCCGCCACCCCCCAACCTCCTCCCTATATCCCACAGCTCGTCTGTCTGTGAAGTTTGTAATATCGCTACTCATATACAGTAGCACAGTATTTGAAAGTGGGGTGTTGTGATCGGTTTTGTCGATCAAGCAGTAGACTTCTTAAGATAGCGACTTGAGAAAAAGAACCAGTATCAAAGACTACAGCAAGGGACAGTGGCGGAATCCCGGCAGTGGATGTACAGTGACTGTTTACACGTCTATTGTCATGGCCTGCTAGCCCGTAGCTATCGACTGTAGAGTGTCTAATACATTTGATAATATCAGTTTCAGAGGCTCAGTCCTACTGTTCTACAGAGTTTGACTACACGAATTGCTTGGCCTTTATTTTGAAGTGGGGAGCGAATTCGGCCGTATGATGTACATGAGGACAGAGATAAGACTCGATAACCCGGAGCAAATCCCGCTATGGGAGGCTCCTCTGGTATACTTGACACGCACTTTGATGATGGGAAAATCTATCGAGAAATAGACAGACTAAGACGCAAGCCGGGGGATTCAAATACAAATAAGGAATCGCGACACAAAGGAGCGAGAAGGTAAACCGAGTTTAAAACATGAGTCGCTCGGCCGCTACGCGTCAGAAATTGTCGATGTGAATGATAGAAACAAATCGCCTATCCCCACCGTGACTTGTTTGTGAAGGAAAAAATTGGAGGACCTGATTGGGGGTAAGTTTGGAGGAGGGATACTCCCCGTCAGTGTTGATCCCGCCCTGCGTTACACGAGGTACCCGATACACACACCGCATGATGGACATTTTACCTCGCTTTGCTTACTGTCGTCTGTCACTTGTAGATGTGCACGAGACGAGCGCGCGCGGAACTTGAGTCGCCTAGAGTGACCGTTCTTGGATAGGAGAGCAGACGACACTTTGATGAAGCGGATCGTTTTCGGAGCAAATTTGTAAAATACATTTGAACAAATGTTGTTCCTTTTTGGAAGTGAAGTATGGATTTCAAGGAATGACACTTAAGCACAAACAATATTGGATGTAGCAGTATTTGAATCTGAATATTTGCATGTGATTATATTTTTTCTCCATGTGAACGCACATATACTTTGTTTTGAATTTTACATACTTGTACAAACGGACGATGTGTATACGGACTTTGATTTGTTTAAAACTTCTCTTATCTCCTCTACTTGTTTCGTTTTCGATCGGAGAGGCATTTATTGACCGTCTCGAGCAATGCGAACCTATAAAAATCCCGCAGTGCCGTTCTATGCCTTACAATATGACGCGCATGCCGAACCTGCTTCACCACAGCAGTCAGGAAAATGCAAGGCTCGCCTTTGAACAATTTGAGATGCTCTTGAACAAAAACTGCAGTGAAGCATTGTTGTTTTTCCTATGCTCCATATATGTGCCAATATGCACAGTCTCTTTCCAACCCGACCCAATCCCTCCGTGTAAGGGGGTTTGCGAAAAGGCGAGGGCAGGGTGTGAGCCCGTCATGAACGCTTATAATGTGTCGTGGCCCGAGGCCCTGGACTGCTCACGACTCCCCCGATATGAAAGGGGGGTATGTGTGTCCCCCGAAGCCATTGTCTCCCCATCAAGGAGAAAAGGTAAGTTAATTTCTCATCTTCTCAAAAGCTTGTCCACTTGTGATATTGATATCGGTTTTTCATAATGCTACAATATTTTATGTAACACGTGGTGTTCATTATAACACCATAAAACTTTGTTTAGTATACATTAAACATGTCATATTAAGTATATTGACGACTGAGGTATTTTTAAATCATTTTATGAAACTATTAATCATACATAAACTTGTACTTTTTTTTAAAGTGCTCAAGTTCAAACCAAAATGAAAGGGACACTACCTATTATTTACATTTTTATATCATTATGTCTTCAGCTATTCGATATGGCACAGGCAATTTCTACTAATGGGACATTCATACGTACATTATTGTTCTGGGAAAGCATTGTCGCTTAATCATGCTGCTTTCTATACACGCGAGTACATGAAAACCATATTAGGCGAACATGCTCCTTTAATTCTCGCCGCGTGTTTTGATGACCTCTTGTAGAGATGACCCGAAATCCTTTGATCTTTCGCTTTGATCATTTGCGATTAAGGTAAACTGGGCCCTATCACGGTCCCCTAGGAATCCAGCGATTCACCAGCGCCCCGATAGAGTGTTCCCGTAATGGCGGTGTTTACATATTGTCCCACAGAACACGTGTTGAGCTCTCGGAAACAAACACTCCCAGCGAGTGATTGGAAAATCTAGAATGTGTGCACTGCCCGCTGATCGTAATATTTGCATGTTAGTGTACAAAAGGGATTGATACCAATTACCTTGACACGTTGATTTGGGATTTAAAGGTGTTACGCCTTTTTTAACATTCATAATTCGAAGTTATTGGAAAGACTATTTGGGATCCTTTTTATGTGACGGGTGGTTTGTAAACTGTCACTCATTTCATGCCACGTCTCAGTTTAGTCTGAAACGTCTCGCTACGTTTGTGAAAGTGGATGAATAGCTGTCAGGGTGTATGGTGGCGTCACATGTTTTTGTTTTTTATTGTAACTGAAGGACGCGATTTTCAACATTATACAGGTTACATTTACATACATTGCGTTTCAACTGTATCATGAAAAAACACGAGACACAATCTGTTTTCCTGTCATATCTGACTAATTGATGCATGTAATTACACAGACACACGTACCTCTCGCGTGTGTTTACTTCCCTCAAGGGTGACAATCGGTAAAACCCAGAATGCATTTGTTAGTTTGTTTGACAGTAACAGCAAAAGTGTGATGCATCCCCCCTGACGTATCCCAGTTTCCTCAAGTCGAACACGTCTATGTTTTCCTTCCTGAACCACCCGGAACATCCACTTTCTACGGCAACAGTATCTAGGCTATTATCTGTAGCAGTTTTGTAACCAAAGTATTTATGTTGGTGAGAAGTTATAAAAATTAAGTACCAAAACGTCAAACATGATTTTGAGGTTCACCAGACCAGTAAGGATAAGGTCGACAGAGTGTGTTTAATGCCCAGTGGAATCTCGTTCGGGGGATAATCCAGACCCGTTATTCTCCTGCGCTGGCGTTTTATATTATACTGTAATAGTCAGGTCAAATAGTGAAGCTGTAACGTATTGTGTGGTGACAAGGCATCATCAGTCTATATAACAACACGTATTATATCATTAACAGTAAAGTGCATCTCCGTGAGATAACGCTTAAGAGGCGACAGTATATGGAGAAGTACCATGGCTGAAAAACATCTGTGATGACCTAGCTGTATGGAACTTGGTGAGGATGAACTTCTAGACCTATATACGACGGCATATGCTCTACATAGAATCATGTGTTAAACGAAGACTTTGTCTCTGCGTCATTAAGGTACCCCACACACACACTGCAAGAAATACATGTGTAACAAACTTGGAGACAGCACACACGAACGTTATATCACCAATGTTATAATTCGTTTATCCCCGTCTTTTTAAGTGTAGTTCATATACAAACTTCATATTGTAGGTTTCATTAAAAATACACATCCAAAACAAATACGGTTCCTGTTCTACTACTTTCATCTAAACCCAGTTCTCTTTGAAGACAAACACCAGCATCGACTGTTTCGTCAGCGGGAATTCTACACACTCGTATGTCTATCACGTTATCATTATACACATAGTTCTGTGTGATGAGACGATGACAGCTATTGTATGTTATGCTGTATGCTTATAACCCAGGCTCGGCAGAATTGGTCTGTGTCCATTCCAAAGCGCTCAGCATGCCTCGGGCTTGTGTGGGGTAAGAGGCGGGATTTCTTGTACTGCTTACGACAATTCTAGAAATCCACGGAATAAGTAGTATTTGCATCAAAGAGAAAAAGATTAAACGAATTGGTTTGTAAACATTGAAAAGACCGAGAACAATGTCAAACTAGAATACTGTCAATACTCCTAAATTTACCTCTTGGAGATCTAAGGAACCGTTTCCCGTCTTGGGCATAGCTACTTCTGTCGTCATCGTATATGGGGAAATGTTGTATCGCATAGACCCTTTACTTGAAGGGAATATTTGCAGAACAAAGTAAGAAACTTTCAGATTTGGCTAACTTAATAATGCGCGTAACGTATAGACCACGCGGTTATTATCGAAGCAAAGGCAGACATGAAACGTTGCCGTATATGTTTCTAAGTCGTAGAACAGAGTCAAAGACCATTCCCAATTACATCAATGAGAAAGCTGAACTCGGAAATATTTTTAACAATGACAGGGGGAAAAGCAAAAATAATAAGAATTTGGGCGTGGTTAACGAGTCATAGGTATGTTGACAATATGGAGGGTAAATCAGGTTCTCTTGTTGATCAAACAAAACTGTTTTCTGGACAAGAATAATGTGCTTGAACGAAAACCCGACCCAAGATTTGATCATTTGAATGATTTTAGGGTACACTCGATATCATCATTGACTCTGTGTGTGTGTGCATGTGTGCGTTCAGTCGTCAAATTTACGGGGACAGGTGTAATGCAGGCTGTGGCTGCCTTATTCCCATTCAGTATGCGTAGATCTGTAAAACACTTGTAGCATCGTATAAGAATTGTGTCAAGTACGAACCGATTATAACTCCACACAGTATACAATTTCTGCTCTGGTGTAAACACTCATAGAGCCATTTGTATGAATGTTTTGAATATCTTACGCTCACCTGCTGACCTAGGTTCACAATGCATACCCAGTTTACAAATAGGATACATATGACAAACTTTAATAGTCTGACGTCAAACGGAAAGCACTTTCCTGAGTGTGTAGGTACAGTCGTGATGATAACGCTGACTTGGGCTATCACCAACGGTGTGCCTATTTTCTCTCCAGCTATTTGTTTTCAATAACGTGTCTTTATGGGTAGTATATTACGTACACCTATTAACCCTTGACGTGGCGCTCCATCAGACAGTGCAGTATCACCCTCCCCAGCATCAGTGCGGGGTCCTAGCCCGCATTCATATTTCTCCGGCATTTCTCCTCCATTTTTCCATTCAAAATACCTTTTGAATTTGGCTGCCGTCCCAAGCAAAGAGAAAGCTTTTCCATGTAAGCCTTTTTCTAGCCTAAACATATATCTGTATCGCTGACGCATTTATTACAAACCTTTTTAAAATGTGCTTTTCTTCAAATGGGGTCCTGTGATAGTGTTTCCATGTATTGATGCTGTGCTCTCATTCCTAAGTGGGCAAGGCCTACCTTCCACTCTGTACGTCATATAAATAGTTAGATGTTTGTATTGATTACGGAACATAAGCTATGGGTGGATTTCGCCATATTAGTTTGTAATGGTTTGAAATTATTCACAATAGTCGTCGTTTTAACATGCCCGTCCTTTTCAACAATAATGAGTGATATTTTGCTTAGTTATTTGTAAGTACGAAATTTTTGTAATCAACCTCCTTAAACCAGACAGTCAATATGAGTGAAAGTGAGGTACACGAAACATTAGCATTGAATAAATTTAACGCAAGTCATCGTATTCTAGCTATATGACGGCGGTCTCTAAATAATCGAGTCTCGACTAAACAATCTGGTGATTGATATTGTGAGCAACTATCCACGCCGTCTGGGTACCAAGCCAGACCACCCGATCCATTTGATCGTCACTTGCGACAAGTACAGGCTGCCCTGGGTTAATTCGGACAGCTGTAGACTAGTCGCTCAATTGACATGTTTTGAGTGAATGTTGCTTGTTTGTTTGTGTGTGTTTATGTAGTTTTGTGTCTGTCTATTCTATGTTTTGTGTTGTTTTTAAGGGATGGGGTGAGTCAACGTTAAAAACGCTTATATCAAATTATTGATATTTGAAAGGGCAGTTAAGGAAACGACACATTAATTGGATCACTATATTTCGCTGTGTGATAGGATTTATTGGAATCGCGTTCCATTTAAAGCAGTTAATCAATGTTTGATATGTCTGATTGTGTATCATCGTACCCGAACGTTGAATGGTGTTCATTCTATCACTCACCGGTTTGTCTAGCCCGAACACAACTCCTTACACCCCGCTGTGATGAAGCAGTACTAAAACTGACTGTAGTGTAAGCCAACATTACACCTTTACAACATTACAAGTCTTTTAAAGGCATTTAGAAGTGATACACATTAGGAAGAGAATTTATGTATGTCAACTTCTTTATTAGGAGTGAGTGAGTATGGTTTTACGCCGCTTTAAGCAATATTCCAGCAATATCACGGCGGGGGACACCAGAAATGGGCTTCACACATTGTACCCAAGTCGGGAATGGAACCCGGGTCTTCAGCGTGACGAGCGAACGCTTTAACCACTAGGCTACCCGACTGCCCCTCTTTATTATGAGGAACACAACGTTTAGGAGTATATATTTCCTCCTTCATCAGGTGAATGAAACTATATACTCCGAAACGTTGTGTTCCGCATAATAAAAAAAAGGTTGACATCCATAAATTCTCTTCCCTAACAGGGACGTTCGGGTAGCCAAGTGGTTGAAGCGTTCTTTCGTCACGCCGAAGACCCGGGTTCGATTCCCGACATGGGTATAATGTGTGAAGCCCATTTCTGGTGT